GTCTGCTATCCTGTTGTGCGCGGAGCCCCGACTGGTTGGGAAGGTGAAGCACATCCAACTTCGTTACTTCCTTTTGCGAGAGTTGCAGCAGCGTGGACAGGCACTCGTGCGACGTGTGGTCTCTGAGGCCAACATTGCAGTTATCTTCACCAAGGCGTTGCCGCCTTGTGACCACCAGCATTTCTGCACCCAGCTAGGCCTTGTGTCTACAGGCCCTCACTTGCTTGCGTAGAGATGCTTTGTCTTGAACCCTTGCATCTCACTATATATTCTATATATGTGCTTGTGGACAGGCCTTGTGGCCCCTTGCTTCTGTAGAGATGCTTGTCATGCATGTCTTGTACTCTTGCATCTCTTATATCTGCTATATACTTGCATGTGGACTAGCCTTGTGGCCCCTTGCTTGTTCTCGGACTGTGTGGTGATCTTGATATCCAACCTGAGAGTTGCTTTGTTCTTGTGAACTGGTCTTGTGACCGTTGCTCATTCTTGCCGACTGGTCCTGTGACCCTTGCTCATGGGTTGTGTGTTGCTTTCCACAGGACTACTGTCACCTAGACTATGGGGGTGTGTCAAACTATATTTTCTATAGTTTATGTGTGTTAGTCTAGGTGTGTTACATTTTGCCATAGGTTCAGTTAGGGTTTCCTATATCCATCCTTGTACTGCTTGTTTCTCACTCATTCATTAAATAGTTTCCTTCGTGACACCAGCACCTCCAGCGTCAGCACCCCAAGACCTAGCACCCTCAGAGCCCGCACCCCCAGCAGTACCAAAGTCCACAGCGACAGGCTGCAGGGGCGGCGAAGGCGGTCGAGGCGGAAAACCAGGAGGGGTCGCCAAGTGCGGGGAGCGACGAGAGGCCACAGTGTCGTCAGCAGTAGGGTCACCCTCCTCAGCCGGGCCAATGGGGTCTGAGGAGACCTCCAAAGGCTCAACCAAGGGGGATGGTGAGGCCTGAGACACACCTGAGGGAGCAAGACGCGAAGGGGGGGGCGGGGGTCTACGGGGGGGTAACCTGGAATTAGGAAGAGGGGTGGGGGGGTCACCGGGGAACTGCGGTGGGGGAAGAGACGGTAGTAGCAAACAGATTCGTCAAAGTTGACGTCGCAAGAGGACAGGACGCGTCGCGTGCCTGGGTGGTAAAACTGCCAGGGCGGCGCGTCGTCACGAAAGCCACAGAAGGCGCAGCGGATGGTGCGGGGAGAGAGCTTGCCCGCGGTAGGATCGCAGACAAGGGCAAGCGAACCCCAGACCCAAAACGTTGACGCATCACCATCCTCCCCCGTCCAACGCACTGTAGGGGAGGTCTTTGACTCGGAAACATGGGACCAGAGGATGAGCTGATGCGCGGCGTATTGGACCGCAAACGGCCACAAAAAATGGGGAGCAGCCGCATGGATCATAGAGGTGCGAGAAACCTCCATGTTCAAGCCAATGCGGCACTCAGCGATCATATTATTCTGTGGAGAGGCCGGAAGCGTGAACGAATTATGATTCCCTCCTCACGACAATAAGCCTCAAGCATACCAGAGGAGAACTCTCCACCATGGTCAAAGTGCAGACGAAGCACCGGAAGGTCCTGACGGAACCGTGCGCTCAGCTGACGATGAACAGTGTGGATCCGAGGGATCAAAATAGCACTGACGTTTCTCTTATGCTCTACAGGAAACAACGTGGTGTAGCGCGTGTAGTCGTCGACGACCAGCAGAATTGCAAGTGTAAAGGTGTGCAAAGCCTTCGCAAGAATTGCACCTGTGCTAGCAGACTCACGGGCACCTACACTTGCCTCCTCAACATATGCTAGCGACGACAGCTGCTGCTGCTCCTAGACCAACTGATGCCGCCGCTGCTGCTGCTGCTTCTGCCCACCCCCAGAACCTCCAACCCCAAACGCTGGCGACGAGAAGTAGGGAGGAGAATCGGTAGCGCAAGACGACCTAGGGTAGCAGGAGAGAGAGAGAGGAGTATTGCCTGACCACAGCGTCGTAGAAAGTCTGAGCCGACATCACCTGGCGAAAGGGGGCCCTCTGGTCGAGCGACAGGTGAGCGGGGACAGCAAGCTGGGCGACAACGTCGCGTGCCATCCACCGTGTGCAGGCAATGCGGTCTGCCCTGTACCGCCGCTGGACGTCCTCAGCGTTAGCAGCAGTCATAGTCGGAGTCGTGGGGGCCTGAAGAGACTTCGACGCATGCTCGAACAGGGAGACGTCATCTATAATGGAACGCTGGAGATTCAGGTGCAGGCGCTCTAGCCACGACCCAAACTCGAGAGGGCGTCCGTCTGCGTCAACCTCTTGGACAGTGATAATGGGCATGACAGGAACTAGGTCAAGCTTCAGTACTATGAAGTAGCTGCAGATCTAGGCACCGGCGTCAGTTCGGGGCGCAGTGGGAGAACGAACAGCACAGCATTAGGTGAGTGGCTCGGCAGCAGACAAAACGGTAGTGTGGCGCAGCGCGGAATTAGGCAGTGCGGATCGGCAGCAAGGCAGCGCGCAGCAGCAAGGTAGCGCACGCGGCGAGGCAGGGCAGCGCGCGCGGCAGAAGGGCAGCGCGCGAGCGTGCGGCAGGGCAGCGCGCGGCGGCCGGGCAGTGCGGCGCACGGGGAGGGCAGCACGCGCGGGCAGGCGCGGCGAGGCAGTGCTCGGGCAGGCGTGGAAGGGCGGCGCACGGGGAGACGCAGCGCACGGGTAGCTGCGCGCGAGGCAGCGGCGGCTGGGCAGCGCTCGCGGGCAGGCGCGGCTCGCGGGGCAGTGCACGGGCAGGGCAGCGCGCGGGGGCAGGCGCGGCGCGCTAGGCAGCGTACGGGCAGAGCAGCGCGCGTGGGGCAGCGTACGGGCAGGGCAGTGCGCGCGGGAAGGTGCGGCGCGCGGGGCAGCGTACCGGCAGGCGCGGCAGGGCGGCGCACGGGCAGCTGCGCGCGAGGTAGCGGGGGCAGGACATCGCACACGGGCAGGCACGGCGCGCGGGGCGGCGCGAAGGGCGCACGCGGGGCAGGGTAACGACGGTAGGTACGGACCTAACCTAGCGACTGATACCATGTCAAGAAGTGTAAACAGGAGAATGAATTGAGTAGACAGCAGTGAGATACAAATGTGGAACCCTAAACTGCTGTACCCCATTGAGCATGCCCCACTATAGCCTACACATCATAGTTATGATTTTGACAGAAGGGCAGGTCAGGTCAGGATGAGTGAGTATAATGTGCTTCCATCTACCTCCTTGCTACTGGCTTCTTGAAAAATCAACCCTGAGTGGGTTTATGGCCTTTATAATGGGTTAACACACTAATCATGCTAGGAAAAGAAGTGAAACCGTTCTACGTTTGCCTTAGAAGGCTAACGTACAGCTTTGAGGGGGGGTCTCATAATGCATACCTCTCTAGGCTCGGGGTACAATGAACATCTACCAGAATAAAATACCTATTCCCGTATAACATACCCGGGGGGGGGTCTTTAGTTGCGAGGGGTCTTATATCCAATAGATTACGGTATTTCAGCAAAATTTCCACGAAAACGCAAGTAAACAAATGTCTTCAACAATATACCACAGAAGCTTCAGCAGAGTGTGTTGAACTCCCTCTTCACCCTGCCTCTTGCAGCCCCAAACGCCAGTCCATAACGTCCCTTGCAGCCCAACTCCCCCAATCCCCCCTCCTCTCCCAGACAAGCTCCTCTATCCCTCTCGCCTCTCAGTGGCAGCAGCTAGGCGAAGAACTTGACCCCTTCGTCGTCGGAGGAGGAGCCCTTGAAGAGCGTGGCGAGGCCCCTCCCCTCGAGCACTCTGATGGCCCTCCGCAACACATCCTCGTCAATGCCCTCCAGGTCTGGTGCACACAAGCGACACACATACACACGCATACACGCACACATGCACACACGCACAAGCACACATGCACACATGCACACATGCACACATGCACCCATGCACACACGCACATGCACACATGCACACATGCACACACGCACATGCACACGTGCACACATGCACACAGGCACACACGCACATGCACACATGCATACACGCACACATGCACACACGCACATGCACACATGCACACATGCACACACGCACATGCACACATGCACCCATGCACACACGCACATGCACCCATGCACACACGCACATGCACACATGCACACACGCACATGCACACATGCACACACGCACATGCACACATGCACACACGCACATGCGCACATGCACACATGCACACATGCACACACGCACAGACATGCACACACACATGCACACACATGCACACACACACACACAAACGCACAAAAAGACACACGTAAACATGTACACATCCACACACAGACTCGCGCTCACATGCACATACGCACACACGCACAGATGTACACATGCACATACGCACACATGCACGCACACACAAATGCACACATGCAGACAGGCACACATGCACACATTCACACACGGACTCACGCTCACATGCACACACGCACAGATGCAAATGCGCACATATGCACACATGCACAGACGCATACATGCACACACGGACTCACGATCACATGCACACGCGCACAAATGCAAATGCGCACACATGCACACATGCAGACAAGCACACGTGCACACATGCACACGTGCACACATGCACACAGACAGACATGCACACACACACACACACACACACACACACACACACACACACACACGCGCGCGCGCGCGCGCGCGCGCACGCACGCACGCACGCACGCACACACACACACACACATTCACGCATGCGCACCTCACACATGGACACAACCGCACACACGCACACAGTATCATTGAACAGCATGCAGTAACCATCCTCACAATGCACACACAAGCAACAATGGGTAAGAGGCGAGAGAAACATTTGGAACCAGAGAAGCGCGCGTTTCACTACAGGTCTTGCTTTCTCCCTTGGTGCTCTCAATAACCATTCAGGCCGGACATATGCCGCATGCAATGAGGAGGCCAGATCGATGGGGAGAGCACACTTGCATACGTACCTGTCCCTTTCGTATCATCCCCTGCTCGTATTTCCTCGAGTGTCAAAACAGAATCTCCGAATCCGTTCTCGCGCACCTATGGGCCGTGATAGGAAGACAAGTGAGGAAGAAGCGCACGGGCAATAATGAATCAGACAATTTACATTTTGATTTCTTTCAGAGTAACAAGTTGCTCTCGACAATTTACATGCAATGGTTTTCAATATCGTGTACCCTACACCTGCGGAAAATCTTCCACACACTCAAATCTCAAACCTGCCCGACCTGTCACCAGCTGTATAGCTTCTCTCTGACTCGATAACTTAACAGCTGCGATCTCGCACATGAGGCTTGTTATAAGGCACTCGCTACACTTCTGTTGGACTCGAGTCTAGGCTTAGTGTAGCCCAAGGTGTTGATCGCACCTAGCCTAAGTTTCCGAAACACCGTTTACCACTGTGCCCTGGCCTGGCTGGTGGGCCAACGAGGCAGCTCCTTCCTCTCAATGGCATCACCAAACCGGGGGGAGGCATTCGACTCAACCCGACCCAGCTGATTTGCCGACGCACTTAACTCTTGGAGCACCGCAATGGCTTGAGTCCCTCTCCACGTCCAATTGCTCTACCAGTTCCGCGCCATCGAGCGGGAGCGCTTTCCCAGAGCTGGTGCACCGTCGACGTGGAACAATGCTTGGATCCTTCCTCCTCTTCCTCCTCACGTATCAGCCACCCCATTTCGCCACCTTTCTTTGAAACACCTGGTGGTGAGTGCCCCAGGAGTGAGCCACCGTGAACCCACGCCCCCCCCTCTACACGGGAGACATCTTCTCGCTTCGTCACACCATGTCAGCTGCCCACCGCCACATGTCCTGCTGGCCTCCACTGCCGCCTGCCTGCCTTCTGCATGTGCCTGCCTGCCTTCCTTCACCCTTCACTCAAGCCTCGTACCTCCCCAGGCGCTGCGGGCGCCCAGAGCGTCCTTTTGAGTCGACTCAAAGTCATCCCACTCGGCCTCGCGGGAGCTCTGTTCTTCTAAAGGCTGGCGTCAACCACTGCTGCGGATGGGTTGCTCCCACTCTGTTGCTGTCAATCATGGACATCCGCCCCGGCCACCCAACCACTGCATCGCCTGCTGGAAGTGACTCCAGTCGCACAGCCCCCCGCCCCCACGTACTGGGGTGAATGTCGAGTGCACTTCACTCCACAGTGCACCACGGCCATTCTCCTAACGCCAGCATATGCTGGAGCCAGCCGGGCTTCCTTTCACGCGGGCGTCCTCATCCGCCCCGGTGCTGAGGGAACCTTTGCACGCCTCAATTCCGTCCTTGCCCCGCCCACCTCTTCCCTCTGCTGGCGAATTCCGTGGAGAAGGGGTTAGAGCCAGGCTGAGGAGGACCGCGGATGAGAAGGGGCAGCTCGGGATGAAATGTCGCCAGCCGGTACACGCTCCATGAGACATTGTGTGCGGTCAGCGAGCTGCCCCTGACTTGTCAAGCCTGCTTTTTTCGCCTTGGGACAAGCCTTAAGTGCTTGACGTTGGGATTGGCCGTTTAACACACGATACCTGCTCCAATCCAAGAGACCTTGTCCGCCCCCTTGGATTTTACCAAGACCTTGCTGCACCACGAACCTTGTATGCATCTCTCGTTCATCACTGCAACAGGTCTTTGGATCTTAAGTTTGTCAGCTTACACCCCCTTTGCTGACATCACGGTCCACTTGTACCAATTGATGCAAGGACACGTGAGAGAGCGGAGGGGAGGGAGCGTACGAAGTGCAGCAGGGTGTCGGCCCAGTCGTTGATGGACTTCCACAGAATGAGGCACCGCGTTCGACTCCGATCCGTCCACTCCGCCCGCCCTGGCACACGGGGGGGAGGAGCGCACAGGAGGAAATGCACAGTTTCGCTTCATGGACACATAAGCTTGATGAGAACGAAGCGCCCTAATCCATGAACTGACGCTCTCATCCCTTAGCTTGAAATCACTCTGCAGGCTCAAGGCACCGCGAAACGACTGGAGGATGGCCATTGGAGGCGATGCATTGAGTGGAGAAAGTACGAAGGTGATGCTGTTGAGAAGGAATGGGAGCGGAAGGAATAATCTATGCGCCTAGATATATGAGCGTTGAGAGCACATCAACGTTGGGGCCATGTGACGATCACAAGAGAGGCGGAGTGAGCTTGCCTTCTGCAACGAGAGCCTCGAGAAAGACCTGCCGCGCCTCGAACGTCAGCTTGCCTGCCATGATTGATTTCACGCACACACGGGGTGGAGTGGAACAGGCCGTTGGGACCTGAATAGAGAGAAACCGGGCGTGCATGGAGGTGAGTGAGGAGCGAGGAACAGGTGAGAAACAAATGCATGAGGGAACGGAAGTCGTCGAAAGTGGAGGGGGATAAGCAGAGAGCTCAAGAGCAGGGAGCTCTCAACCCGTTTTTCCACATCAGCTTGGATTACCAACCTCCCCACGCTTCCCCAACTAGACGCGATCTGCCCATCCACTCTCCGCCTGTCAACACCCACCCACCCCTTGCTTTCCTCTTTGTCTTCACTACGGTGTTGTGTCGTGACGCACCTGGTAATCGATACAGCAACCGATTTACCTCGAGATGCCCATACATTGCTTGTACCACAGCTTAAATCGATACAAAGACCGCTTGAAGGGGGGAGCAAGAGCAACGAGGGATCTAGGGGTGAAGGTTCTACCAATGCCCCAATTTCCCCCAAGAAAAGAGTCATCCCCACGCCACGCCCCATACCATACCACCTCCACCTCGACACCCCTTTCCCCCATTCACCCCTTGCCCCCACCACCCCCCTCCCACCCCTCCTCCCCCCCCTTCCCTCTGCTTCTCCCCCTCACCACCCCCTAGCACACATGTGTAGTGCCCCGCCTGCTCCTCCTCCCAAGCCCTCACGCTGGATGGCAGGGTGGTGGAAGAGGGGGAACTGGTCGAGGGGCACGAGCAGCGTGCGGTGGTGGCGGCACCACGCCACGATCAGCTCCGCCCACAGCCGCACCTGCCGCTCGCGCGTCGCCTTGATCGGCTGCAGCCTGCCGCCCCGCGGGATGGACGGACGTGATGATCGTGAGAAGGAGTATGGACTCACAAGAAGAGGTTGATGGGATGCAGTGATGCGGGTGAACGAAAGAAATGGAGCAAGCAGCAAGGTGAGGCTAGGCAGGAAGGAGAGTAGGTAGACATGAGCAATGGGTCGGTCAGGCCAGGTCAGGTCGACCTTACCCAACCCGGGGTTTTGGTTGGGTGAGATGAGATTGCTCCTTTGACCCAACCCCGGGTTTTGGTTGGGTGAGAATGCTCCTTTGACCCAACCAGGACGATTCAACCCGACCGGACGACCCGATCGGACCAGACCCAACCGGCTCTGGGTATATGACGATTCGACCCCTTTGAATTCAGGTCAGGTCGGGAAAATCCTCAGGCCAACCCAACCCAAAACGTCCCCACCCGAACCGGCCTAGGCTTACGCCTAAGAGTATGTACCAAACTCGAACCAGTTTGGGACTAACCAGGGTCAATTCGAGTCTAACCGAAATGGGTGGGGCCCAGGTTCTAGGTTCGAGGTGCTCGAGAACCTTCTAGGGTTTCAATAGAACCGACAGCGGTTCGGTTCAACAAGAGCGCAACTAAGAAATTCAATTTTGATCTTAGGTTCAACGATTTTCGGCACCCATAGACCAATTCCCTAAACGCCGTTGGCAAATATACGGTTTGTTTCAAGTATTCTTGAACCACTTGGACCGAATAAAACCTCGGTTCAGTACTATGCTCGAACCTAACGAGAGGTGCGGCAACGCACGTGAAGTAGGGAGGGTAGTCGTAGAAGCGCGGCAGGGAGAAGGCCGTGTTGCTCGCCAGCGCTGCTGCTGCTGCGCCTCCCTCCATCGCACCACGCGCTCACGCAGGGAAGGAGGGGCAGTTCCGAGATTGGCGAGGCGACGACGACGAGGCTGACACGAGGGCGATGGTTGGTGGTCGACGGGAGAGGGTTGTGGAGGAAATTGGAGGTTGGCACGAGTGTGTGTGAGACGTGGGGGGAGTGGCGGACGTGAGAGAGTGAAGCGACGGCAGCGACTGAGGCGGCAGTGAGTGCAATGTGCGAGGCCGAGGTAGTTGAATTTTCACTCTATGCGACATAGTTATTCTCAAAACTTGCGTGAAGGTGGCTAAATTGAGATCGCGACGCGACAATTATGCGGTTGCATCATGACGGAAGTTTCATGGGACCACGATTCCCAGTTTGCAGAGTGCGCAGAATAACGATCGCATGACTAGGCCCTGTTCTACAGGCTGGTGTTTCCGTTGTTAGAATCCTCTTGGTCGCTTCCGTCTACAGTAAGTTTAGGTTCGATAGCATGGTCAGCCCGAAAATGAGTGTCATACCTGCTTGTTTCCATCCGAACCTGACGGAAACATGTGGCTGCAGAACAACGTGCAGGGTGGAAACGGAAACGTCGAGAAGGAAGGTGGTACCCAACTTCTCTCCCTAGCAATTTTTGTTTCCGTTTGGTTGCCAAGGGATACCTCCTTTCTACGGGAAGCAAAATGGCATCCATACGGATACAATTGTCCAGGTGTAACCTGTGCTCTGCCCTCCAAACTACGCACAACTCTGTAAGCCAACCCCCTCGTGTTTTTGGGTGGTGATGGGTCGTAGGGAAATTCAAGAAAGCCCAAGCACGAATACGTAAATCAAGAACGCGGAGCAAGCTCAAGCTCGTTATTTTCAAGAATCGTTAGAACTCCCGCTGAAAGTTAGGCGCCATGGATAGATCTAGGCTGCTTGAGACGTTACAAGCTACTATTGCCCATATTGCTGACAGCCAAGCGCGTACTGCTAATGAACCGACTGCCGGAATACGAAGTGTGCTTGGTGATAGCACGGAACAGAGGGTACGTCCGGTCCCTCCACCAAGCGAATCTGACTTCAATAGTGAGGATGACGACTACGAAACCGGTGACACTAACGCGAGCCATTCTGCTGGGACCCAACGCCGAGTTTGGACTGACGATCTTATCTCGGAGCTGCTAGGCATAGTAATCGATACACAGTTACAGAACGGGCTTGCACCTCATGCACATATAACTAGATGGGCAGATATTTATCGTCAGTGGCAGAGTGTTCACCCGGACCTGTTTACCCTAAAGCAGTTGCAGCACGAAATCAAGACCGTTAAAGGATACGTCAAAGATATAAAGTACTTACAAAACTGCTTCCCCACGGGCTTCCATTGGGACCCTACCACGGATTACTTCAACCCAGATTCGGAGGTGAGACCTGTCTGAGAAAAAACAAAGATGTTGCGTTTATAGCCGACAAGGGTCCTAGTTCTTGGGCGAAAGGCTGATGGTCGGGTGCAGAAACGAGGCTGAAGATTTTGTCTCGGTGGGGGAACCCGCTGGGCGACGCTTTGGTGGGTAGGGAAGTCGCATATATAAGTTGGTGAGAGTCAAGAACAATAGTACGGTGACTTAGATATTTGGAATGACATGTTTCAGTACCGCACAAGTAGTACTTATGTGTGGAAAGTATTGGTTGTATAATACGTCATGTTCTTTTCTGTGTTCTCTGTTCTTACTCGTGCTAACAAATTGCTCCCACCATCCCTCTCACACCCAGCTTGGCGTTATGGCTCGTATAGAGGGTCAACCACGTTGGCGACGACTCTCTCGGTGGAAAACACGGTTGGCGCCATGGCTGCCGTTAGCGGAACAGATTGTGCACATGGGGATGAGGATTGGTATGGGGATGAGGATTGGGATGGGGATGAGGATTGAGATAGGGAGGAGGATGCGAATGGGGATGCACAGCACGAGAGGCTAGCAGGTGAGTGAGACAGTGGGGTGAGAGTGTGGAATGCTGGGTGGAGTGGTTGGAGGTGAAGGTGGCAGGGACATTAGATGATGAGGTATGGTAAAAGGGTTTGGTAATGAGCTCCGACATGAGGTTTTGAGGAAAGGTGCTATGGAAGGTATAAGTTATCAACCGCATGATCATAAACAGGTGGGGCGGTGTGGTGAGAGGAGGATGGCATACCGTTAACTCTGAAGTAAATGTCAGGGACAGCCACGTGTGTGGCTTTGCAGCTCTTCCTAGTCGCGATTTATGCACGCCATCTCCCTTCCACACTTCAACCCTCATCACCCCCCCTACTTCCCAACCAACCCATCGTACGTCCGGTCCTCCCACACCCCACGGACATTTGTCCGCCCCTCTTGTTCCCATTCCACCGCCATACCCTCCACCCATTCGTGCCACTCCTCATTCTCCGTCCCCTCTCCGACCTATCTCTGTCCAAACTCAGCCCACAGAGCCTCTGTGATGCGAAGTCGACGAGCAGCCCCCACTCTGGCAGATTCCCGCACACTTAGCGATTCAGGTGTGTCTGATCTTAAGGGAGGGAGTGGTTCATGTATTGGGCAGGAGAGACGTTCCACGTCCCCTGGGAAATCTGCGCCGCCCATCTTCTTGATGTAATTATGCAAAATACAGCACGCCTGGATGATGCACTTCTGCATGGAAAAAGAGTATGGCCTCATAACACGAAGGATGGGAAATCGAGCTTTCAGCTGGCCAAATGCTCGTTCAACATGCGACCGTAAAGAAGAATGAACACGGTTGAATAGTTCCTCCTTGTTCTGGGGCTGAAACCCTGACTCCTGCCAGAGTTGCAAATGATACATATGAGACCTATAGGGGGCGAGTAGATTTGCGTCGTTGCGGAAACCTGAGTCAGCCAGGAGGAAGGTGTTTGGCGGAAGAATAAAACCACGTTTTACTGCGTCTTGGAAAAGGAAAGAGTCATGGGTGGAACCCTCCCAGCCCACCATGAGGTAGATAAAAGCGTCATCAAACGACACGGCTGCCTACACATTCTGCGACACGTTTTTGTGACGGTCAAGCCATGATTGCTGCTCACTGGCATGGATGCAAGCAGGGATTAGAGTTCCGTCCACGGCGCCTAATGCCCCCATGAAATGTTTGTACCTCCTGGAGCTACTAAGATATGTCTCGTCGCAGCGGGATGGAAGATGGATGTACTCGTCGTAGAGCTCGCGAATGGCCAGAGCCACCTCTTCGATTGTTTGGCTAATATTGCCACCACTGCGCTGCCACGTTTCTTGCAAGACGCGATTAGTAGCTGCTTGTCCTACGAACTGCAAAAATGTAAGAACCTTTTCCTCCGGAATGACGCTGCGTCCACGACGCAAAAGACCCCGGTCCACTAATACACGAACCAACTCAAGCACAAGTTCTGGTTCCATGCGCATGACCTCATATGTCCTTGCAGGATGACCGCGCAAAAGGTGTTGTGTGTAACTGCGACCACCAATACGAAGATCATGCTTAGGGTTTCTAAGGTAACCGCTTGCGCTTTTACAGACGGATATTAAAAAGGAAGCCGACCACCAGCTAACTAATAGCTCTCCTAAAACGTCTCTTATTAACAACGATACTGCTAGTTTCTTTGTGCTGCTATTCTTCGTAACACGCAGTAGCAGAGGATTGAATCCTCTTCCCTTTCTAGAAGCCATTCTTGAGTCTAAGGCAAACGCAGCAAGCTGCATCAATGGCAAACACTTGCACGTTTGAGCCTTCAATCCAAGTGTCGAGGAATCCCTAGGGTTTTGACCCCAAGGACGTTTTTTGTCTGGACAAAAGACCCTATACAGACGAGTAGACCTTAACTAGGTGAAATTCAAGAATAACTACACCCCCCTCCGTTACGAGAAGGAGACCCGACACCAGCGTCTGGGCGGGTAGAAATTTCCTGTACAACCGGGTGAGCTTTCGCGGGGTGGGAGGGCGTGACGAGTCTAAGAGCGTATTCCTATCCTCGTATCAAGAAAACCTCATATCAACCTCCCACTGAAAATTCCCCTAAACCCAAAACCTCTCGCTACTTTTACCAGGCAAAAAGTACAATCTTGATATGAGGTTTTCTTGATACGAGGATAGGAATACGCTCTAAGCAGAAAGCTGTACGTGGGTTCCCGTATTTCCGTTTCCACGCCGTGCCCGTTTGCCTGT